CACTGTTACCCTGGGCTTCAATAGAGACATTAACTGGTTAACACACTACAAAACCAATTTTCCATGCCTTTGACATTCATATTTTCACATCAATAGCTGTGAATCGTTCACACTTAATTAGCTTCATTAACATAGGTCTGATCTGATGAAGTGGATTTTACTCACAAAAGCTCATGATTCTATATATATGTTTTATAAGTCTCTGAGGTGCTACAGGATGACTCGTTAATAATATAAAACATTTTTATAAGTGCCTATTATTTGAGACTCTTAAAGCTTGTTGCACAAATAAAGGTTGACTACACTCCTGTTAGATATGTTGCCTGAACCCCGTGTTATGGATAGATTGAGTCACAGAGGTACATCTACACAGCAGTGTTATTTCGGAATAACTGATGTTATTTCAAAATAGCATAGTGCGCGTCAACACAGCAAACCATTATTTCAAAATAATATTGAGATGGAAGACTTCTTAATCTGATTCCTGTAACACTCATTTTATGAGGAGTAAGGCAAGTTTTAGGAAGAGTGTTCTTCCTTTGACTTCCTGCTGTGTAGACAGCGCCAAAAACCAAATTAAGTTATTTTGACTTCAGCTACGCAATTGACATAGCTGAAGTTACATATCTTCATTCAACTTTTGCCCTTCAAAGTAGATGTGCCCAGAGAGATTATGAGACTTGCCCAAAGTCACCTAGCAAGTGGAAGACAAAAAGAGGGCTAGACGCCAGAAGTTCTGGTTTCTGGCTACGATTTCTCACCGGGTAGGCAACACCTGAAAACATGGAAGCAAAAGAGAACCCTCACAATCCTGCACTCTCTAGCTGATAGTGCTGGACATTTGTCAGGAACACAGAATATTTCACAAGACATTCCACCAGCACGAGACATCAAGGGCTTATCAATTTGACCTTCTAAATTAGACACATATCCTCAATCCATGAGCCCATGCTGGTTTCTCTGGCACTCCCCTACTTGCTGCATCTCATTAACCTTCTTAGCTCAGCAACCCACTCAGCCTTCTGTCTGTGCTATTTCAGCCTCCAAAACAGGTGTCTGAAGGAGGTGTCTTTGGTTCCCAAACACATCTCAGAACCCTGTGTAGTGGCTGCTGTTGTGCTTTATAGAAGGTGGTGCTGTTGCAGGAGCCTGTTAAGAGAGAGGCTATGTGCACTGAAGTTGGGGGATTCAGAAAGCTGGTGTATTCATCTTTTAATACAGGGCTGGTGTATTCATCTTTTAATACAGGGTTCAACTTTGGAAGCCCCGGGAACCACAATGATACTCACATGGTGAGGGCTGCAACTTAAGCGTGGTTGCATATACATGCAAATATATATGCAAATGTATGCAAATAGCTTCTTTCACACCGATGGGCATGAATACAAAGAACTTCCCACAACACCCCACTGCTCCCAGCACCTCCTCCCTGGGGGCTAGAAATGCCGACACCCTGTTCCCATCTTTTCCAGCTAGCCCATCTGCTTACATCTTTCAGTGCTCACCTTACCTGGGAGATGCCTCGCCCTTGTGGAGTGTGTTCCAAGTGGAGGCCATGTTCAAAGGATCCCACCCACAGGCTGCGTGTTGAGGCCTGCATAAACCCAAACCGTGCTGCGGGCTGCAAACAAACAGGCCACGGACCACATATAGCCCACAGGCCATGTATTAAGTAGTCCTGTTTTAATACGTCAATGAAGATTGAAATGGGAGAAACTGTATCAGCTGCTGTGGAGGCATTACAAGTCAGGAGAGGAGGAGGACCTGTCTTTTTGCTTTTAGCAAAGGAAGGGGAGTTGTTCTTCATCCTCCTTGCATTAATCCCTAGCTATGCCATGAAGCTTGTTGATGATTTTTGGCTGAGCTCCTGGTTATATACATGTTCTAACTTACAAGATGAAGCAAATCTAAAACCCAAAGTCCTCAAATGACTGAGAGGCTATCCTTTTGGAGGAGGAACTAGATGGACAGATCCTTCCAAAACAGAAGAACAGCTGTTTAGCCTCTACTCAGCCATAAAACCAAGTCCATTAAGGACCTATTCCTGTCTGAAGCCTGCACTGACAACACTTCATAGAAGGTGCTTAGCAGCCAACAACTATCACCAGCTCCTTCTTTCTATGTGTAGGAGAAAATAAAGCTGGCCCTCCCAGACTCTTCATAGTTTTGTTGCCTTTAATTCCAATAAGTACATTTCTGAGAACAGTGCATTGGTGTTATTCTTTACTTCAGAACTGAGTCAACTGATATCTCCACTTATCAAGCCCATTCATGCCCTCTGCATTCCAAGAGGAGACTTTGAAGGGCAATATTTCTTGCTGTATCCTGTATCAGCCGAGTTCCTTACTCGAAGACTGTTTCAAGCCAAGTTTCCTCACAGAGACAGCTTTTACCAAATGGGAAAGCCAAAGCAGAGTGTTAATGAGGAATCTAGGAAAGATTAAACAGTGTGCACAATCAAAGCCCAACCACAGCAAAGGCTGGATATGAAAGGACAGTATTTTTAAAGTTAGTATGAAGATGCAATGAGATTTCAGCAGGCATATGGAGTGTGCGCTTGCCTAATTGCTGCTCTAAAAGCTGGCTTGGACCCTAGAATAAGATAAGGCTCTCCTAGCTGTTTTGGGTTGGCACACGTAGCCCTATGCTATCCTCTCCTTGAAATTCACTCACTAACATGGGGGCGAGTAGTGAAAGAGGGAGTGGAAGTAGCACTCAGGTCAGCCATGGGGGGGGCTGATATAAATTAAAACATCCCCCATAATCACTTTAGGTTACACCAGGAGCTGCGTCAGACCCCAGAAAAGGCAAAATACAGCAGTTGTCAGCAACCCCAATTAAAGGAAGGATGTGGATGCATTGCAGAAGTTACAGTGGAGGGCAACCAAAATGATTAGGGGGCTGGAACATATGACCTATGAGAAGAGGCTGAGGGAGTTGGATCTATTTAGTCTGCAGAAGCGAAAAGTGAGGGGGGATTTCACAGCAGCCTTCAGCTTCCTGAAGGGAGGTTCCAAAGAGGCTGGAGAAAGGCTGTTCACAGTAGTGATGGATGGCAAAACCAGGAGCAATGGTCTCAAGTTGTGGTGAGAGAGGTCTAGGTTGGATATTAGGAAAAACTATTTCACTAGGAGGGTGGTAAAGCACTGGAATGGGTTACCTAGGGAAGCAGTGGAGTCTCCATCCTTAGAGGTGTTTAAGTCTCGGCTTGACGAAGCCCTGGCTGGGTTGGTTTAATTGGGATTGGTCCTGTCTTGGGCAGGGGGCTGGACTTGATGGCCTTCTAAGGTCTCTTCCAGCTCTGTGGTTCTATGATTCTATGATTCTATGAACCCAACTCTGCGTTTTCTCTTGAACAGCATCTGCTAAGTCACAGCTCTCAGGAGATGCCTCACAGAATATAGTCCAAGAAGAGGATACACGGTGAGCCAGCCAATTCTGTTCGAATTATAGAAGAAATTTAGGGAGCCTGACTGGAAAGTGTCCAGGTCAGAGATGACTACTCAGTAAAGAATGGCTACAGACTGCTAAGATTAGGAAAATTAGGAAAAGTTCCTGAACATTATGAAAAACTTCCTGTCAAGGTAGTTAAGCTTCGGAATAAACCTAGGGAGGTTGTGGAATGTCCATCTCTGAAGATATTTAAAAGCAGGTTAGACAGAAACCTGTCAGGAATGATCTAGATGGTCCTACTGTGAGGGCAAGAGCCTGGACTCAATGGTCTCTCAAAGTCCCTTCCAGTTCTATGATTCCACATTGGTATCGCAACCTCAAAGACACAGTGGCCAAACAGAGCTTGAAGGTATGATAGCCTGTGCATAAATGTTGGGGACAGGTTAAACAGCAGGGTTCCCAGTAAGATGTACACTTGTGCAGCCATTCAGGAGAGATTCAAATGTCACCCAACTGATTAGGAGAGCACCCACAGCTAGGTTTTTTTGTTTCTATAGTTGGTGAGTATTTGCACATGCTGGTGTACATATAAAAATGGATGGAAAAAAATCTGCACATGGATGGTTGGTGAGTATTTGCACATGCTGGGGCACATATAAAAATGGATGGAAAAAATCTGCACATGGATGGGACACGTTAGAGGGAACATAGATAAGCAGCAATTGGAATCCTGCCCATAGTTGCTCAGGTATAAACCTCTTACTGCAAGACAGAGAAAGAAAACACACACCAAAACAAAAAAACAAAACAAAACAAAAACTGGCATGATTCAAAAACTGGCAGTGACACTAACTCTGCCTCTGACACTAGGCATATCAGTAGCAACCCAAATTGCCCCAGGAAGGTAAAACACACAAAATATCAACCTCTTATTAAGAAGAGTTTAAAACCCATTTATTGGTTTATCAGCCACCAGGTTCCTTGGGGGTGGGAGAGCTGTGACAATTCTCTGTCTCATGATTGATTGCCTAAAATAGTTTCCCATCTTTTCAATTCTAGATGGATAAATTTAGACTTAGCACTTATCCTATAAGCATTTTACACTTGCAAATTGCTGTACACATATTATCTAACCCAGCCCACTCAATATCCTGTGAAGTAGGTAGATATCTCTATCTGTATTTCACAAATAGGCAAACATTGAACAGAAGGATTAAGGAGCAGTTTTCAAAGGTGGACTTTTGGTTTTGGTGTCTTTTAATTGAGCAGCCAAGTTGGAATTCTCTGGGTCTCATTTTCAGAGGTTCTGCACACCCACAACTGCAGCAGAGATTAATGGGCAGCTGCCAGTGCTCAGCAACTATGAAAATCAGAGCCCTGAATTATTGTAAACTGGACACTAAAAATGAAGCACTCAAAATCAGTGACTTCTTTTGGAAATTGTGGTAAAAAAACCTCCAAGAATCTGGCCTCTGTAACATCAAAACACAGAAGAAGAAATTTTTGTTGATTTTATAACAATCATAGGAACAGCCAAAAAACCTCCAAGAATCTGGCTTCTGTAACATCAAAACACAGAAAAAGAAATTTTGGTTGATTTTATAACAATCATAGGAACAGAATCATGGGTGGGAAGAAACGTATTCCTCATGATCGGCAAAGGCTTGCAATCCATTTTCTTTCTGCTCTTGTAAGCGCGCTAGCAGGAATTTCAAACCGTTGTGAGGGAAGCTAGAGAAAAGGTTGCACTTTGGAATGAAAAAATGGATCAGGTTGTAATTTTCCACATGCTGAATGAAGTCATCTAGCACTCTGAGAAAACAGCAGACAATGTCAGAAGGTTTCCAGTTGAAGTCCGCTATCCACTGTGTCAGAGTATGGAAGAAGGATGTCTTGGCATGGTAGGAGCACAGGTGACTTAGTTGCCTAGGATAGTCTTTCTTCAAGGCCTCAAAAAGGCTCTTCAGCAACCGAAGACAGGTTTTCCTATGTATAGTACAGAAAGAAGTGAAATGTACTCACAGTCATGACTATTTAGTGTTATTCCTGATTAACTACATTCTAGCACCCTACAGGGGACCTAGTGTGACACGGAATACAGCATGTGATATTTTAAGGGTTTCTAATGCTGATGTTTCTGTTGTGCTACACACCAAACACACTGTGCCACATTCTGATCTCAGTGACACCATCTTTGATGCAACTCAGATTCACAACGATGTAAACAAAGGCCAAAGTTGCAACTGGTACATTACTCCTCATTCATTCTAGAGGGTGAGACTGAAATACATTAATGTTTTTGTGCAAAAACTGGTGAAGTGTCCACACCTCAAGCACGTTTTTGTGGAAGACAATCGACAGAACAGAGGGCTTTTGCTGGTAGAGTTATTCCTCTCCCCACGAGGAATAACTCCTTTTTGCGCTTCAGTTCTTGCACAAAAAAGCAGGTGTAGACACTCCAGAGGGGTTTTTGCGCAAGAAACCCCTATCGGCAAAAGCATAGGATGTCCATGCAGTGTTCACGCTCTCTTGAACAGAAGTTCATCACTTTTGCGATACACTTTGAGGTCTGGACACACTTTTGCACAAGAGGTTTTTGCACAAGAACTCTTCCTCAAAAGGCTTCTTGCAAATGTCTGTGTAAGAACCTTTCTGATTCTGGGCCCAGTCCAACCCCCATTAAAGTTAATGGAAGTTTTTCCACTGATTTTAATGGGGGTACAACGATGCCTTGTGAGAGCTAGGTTGTATTTGGGAGAGTTTGTAGTAGAACTTTGAATCTAAGTATTACATTTACCCATTTTGGGAATGGAAATCATACCAGGCCATCTGTATGTCCAACTGGAAAACAAGTAATTTTGAATACTCAGTTTTGCAGGGAATCACTTTAAATAACAGGTGACTATCAGAGAAAATAATACTTGTCCATGAACTATTCTTGAGCAGAAAAAGAGGCAAAATTTGTAGAATAAATTAGTTTGTTGCAAATTATTTGCCCTCTTACAGTGTGGATTTTGAGTCCAGCTGTACAAGGTAGCAGGGAATCTACATCCAGCTAGACTAGGCCTTGATCCCTCGACTTACATACCTGCAGCACTTGGTATCATAAGATTCACAACAGGATTTAGTGTTGCCATGGTCATTCATAATCTCCTTTTCAACACGAGAGAGAGAAATTCTCCAGACCTCTGCAATACAGAACAACATAGCCATCACATGCCCAGTATCTCCAAGTGTGAAGAGGCATCTGTGGCCTTGCCCTAAAGCTACTTAAGTACTGAAAAGGTATTTAAGGATAATTTAAAGTTACAGTTATTTCCAGTGCCTGAAGGGACCACTGCAATCATCTAGTTGAATTTTCTACAAAACAAAAGACCAGAGAATTTCACCAAAGCAAGACCTGGAGCAGGTTTTGAAAAAAAATCCAGTCTTGATTTTAAAATGTTCAGTGATGAAGAATCCACTACAATCCTTAGGTGCAATGGTTAATTAGTCTGTGTTTAAATTTATGCTTTATTTCCAGTCTGAACTGGTCTATCTCCACTTTCCCACCACTGAATCATGCTACTCCTTTTTCTACTATACTGAAGCTCACTCCCTCTGGGGCATCTGGCACTGGCCACTGTCAGCAGAAAGGATACTGGGTTAGGTGGACCTTTGGTCTGACCCACTATGGCCATTCTTATATTCTTAAGTGAGCCAGTTATTAAATATTTATTCCCTAAGTAGGTACTTATAGACTGCAGCCAAATCGTCCTTAGCCTTCTCTTTTTTAAGTTGAATAGCTTGAGATCCTTGAGTCTTTTTCTATAACGCATGTTTTCTAATTCTTTAATCATTCACCTAGCTTTTCTAATTTGCAATAAGATCTTAGGGTATGTCTACACAGAAAAGTTATTTCGAAATAAATTTCCTAACTTCTACATAAGCCAACTGCTATTTCGAAATTAATTCAAAATAGCGGAGGGCTTATTTCGAACTTGATAAACCTCATTCCATGAGGAATAACGCCAATTTTGAAATTGCTATTTCAAAATAAGTGCTGTGTAGATGCTTATTTCAAAATAGGGGGCCTCGAGCCCTTCCCAGGGTGCCCTGCTGGCCACCCTGGCCACAAGGTAACGTCTGACCTGATGCCCTGATGGAACCAGTTCTTAAACATGATTCAGTATCCAATCAGTGTGCACATGCTATTTCGAAATACCAAAAAGCTATTTCAAAACGCATTTTGTGTGTAAACACGTTATTTCGAAATAAGATATTTTGAAATTAGATATTTCGAAAAAAAACGCTGTAGTGTAGACATACTCACTGAAACGTCACAGACTGAATGGGCTCTAGAATTCATGAAGGAAAAGAAGGACCAAGCAGGTCTCCCAGATCCAGGGTAGATTTTGGTTCATTAGTTTATTACAGAGAAGTTGTAAACTCTATCTCAGTACCAAGATTGTTATGGAGGAGCCTGCTGAGGTGGATTGAGTTTGTTAGGAAACATATTAAATTACCTTTGTCATCTTGCCCAGATGGCTGCTTGGCAACAAGATAAAATGACCTAGTGAACTGCTTGGCTTTCTTTCCCAGCCATTTTTTAACGTTCTGCTCTAGCTCACATGATTTGGGCCAGGGCTGTAAGATTTCCAAAGCAGGAACAAGATCAATAGACATGAACTCGCCACCTTTGTCATCCAACAGCACCAAAGTCACTGCTGGGCTGTTCTGTTTCTTCCTTTTCAGCGTCATCTTCCACCCTGGGAAAGGTACTGTGGAGCCAATAGGCAAACACAGAATTAGACTGTGGGGCTCAAAAACAGAGGGTATCACGCAGAACTGATTGATTTTAGCATCTGCAATTAAATATCCAGCAAGTACATCTATCCAAACCCACCAAGGAGTTTCTAGACTAGGAAAGTCACAACTTTCCTCAGGATGATGGAGGTCTATAATATCCAGTATCACTTGAATAGGCCCATGCAGTGCAGTGCTTTAGTTATCTAATCACCTTGAGAGAGCTACGTTCAACTTTCTAACTTGTAAATGTACTGACTACTCTCATCCAAGACTCCATTTGAGCATATCACTATATAGAATGATAGAATTTATTTCCCTATTCCTATGCAATGTTCCCCTGCTTATACATCCAAGAATCACATTAGTCCCTTTAGACATAGCACCACACTGGGAGTTCTTGTTTAATACTTTATCTGTGTGACGGGGTGTCGGGCTCCCTAGCACCAGAGCCCTCCATGTCCCGCACTAACCAGGAGGACACGGAGGCACTCTGCAGCCAGGAAATGGTTCCCTGCACTGCTGAGAGGCCTCTTTGTGCGCTGCTGCCCACGCATGTGCAGAAGTACCTGGCCCTGGCAAGCAGCTTGGGTGGTCTGCACTGGAGCGGGCATGGGGAAAACACTGGGCGCCAAGTTTAAATGGTGGCTCCTGCCACCAAGAGGGGAGGCAACAAGAGGACTGGGATTGAAAGGGAAGCCCAATCCCTAGCACAGCTGAGAGGGTAGGAAGAGGCCCAGGATGGGCTACATGGATCCCGCGGGTTGGTGAGTTGTGGGCGGCGGCCCCACCAACTGAGCAGAAGGAAGCTGCCTCTGCTCTTAGGGTCCTGGGTTGAGGCCTGGAGTAAGGAAGTGTCCAGGTCTCCCTACCTTCCTCGACTGAGGAAGATGAGTCGTGGTTCCAGGGGACTAAAGCTGGAAGGTGAGGACTGTTTAGACAATTGAGTGACTGATGGTGGGTTAGATAAGGACCCGGGTGAGGGACTGTAAGGGACACGGAAGCCGGGAACTGGACTTAAGGGGTGTGTGTGTAGTGGGTTGGAGACGTCCCCCACTACCAGAAGGGAGAAAATACCCCCTTGGGAGCCATTTTGGGCACAGCCTACCCCTGCCCCCTCACTGGATAGGAAGCAAAGGGGTGTGGCTAGGACTATAAGAACTCTGCCAGGGATCTCAGTTGGGGCCCAGCCTCTGAGGGAGACAGAGACCTGCCGAGAGCTCCTGGCTGACGAGGCTGAGACCTGGCCTGGGCCTCCCACAGCTGCCTTCCCTCAGGCCAGTGAAGTCTTCCCTGCGATAAATTTTCTGGGAGGCACCTCACACCTTGCCTGTATCCCTTTCACATCTCCCCTGGGGAGGTGCACCTCACTCGTTAAGAACCCCTGGTTTAGATCCTCTTTCTCTAGCATCCACAAAATGTTACCAGGTTTTCTGCTCCTTTAAAAAGACAGTGCACAGCAGTTTATTAACTTCACTAGAGTTGAGAAACCCTACATTTCAATCAAACCTGAGCTGGTTGATGGTAAAAATAAAACAAGTTTATTTACAAAGTGACATTAGGTTTAAGTGATACCAAGTATAAGGATCAAGAATAGAAATGGTAACAAATAAAGATAAAACTATGCTTTTTAAACTAAAATTCAAAGTGTCAAACGAGAGTCTTTTGTTCAAAGAAGCTTTCCTCACTATAGTATTTCTTTTTTACATGGTTAACTAAACCATTAGTCAGAACTGAAAACATAGAACTCAAAGAACTTCTTTTTTTTTGCTCTTTAGATGAAGGATAACTTAGGGGTTTATGCCTTTTTTTTATAGTCCAGTAAAATGAGAAATATATTCTCCACTGCTGCTGGTTCGCTACCTGCCCTGCTCCTGAATCAGGAGCTTCCTCAAACCTGTGTGTTTGCTGCCCTGCCCTGCTCCGGGGCCTGGGCTTACTTTCTTGTGTTTGGTGCCCTGCCCCGCTCAAGGGCTCGGGTTTACAGATTGTGCTTTGGAACCTAGCCACGATCGAGGCCGGACCTCTTAAAGGGGCAGGACTGGGACTGCTGCCCTGCCCGGAACTGTGAGCTGAGAGACTTGAATCTCTATTGAACTTCTTCCCCTATGGTCTGGACCTGAAGCAAGGCTGGGCATGTGAACTATTGACCCCTTCTACCCATCCTGGGCAAGGCCCGATGGTGGGATGATTGACAGGGGCTGCCAACTAACCCTGAGGCGGAGGAACCCCTCCGGGAGGCCTACCGGCCTACAACCAACCGGCTCAGAGACTGTTGTGGGCACTGTCCTGAAAAGGACCCTGTGACCAGCCGTCCGAGCTAATTCCCAGGACCGACGGCTGGTGGCGCTGTGGCAGTGAGCGTACCCCTTTATAGGAACACACAGGGGAAGGATCAGGGAAAATATCTATTTCCCACTCAAAATGACACACGTAGCCCTATGCTATCCCCTCCTTGAAATTCACTCACTAACATGGGGGCTAGTAGTGAAAGAAGGAGTGGAAGTAGCACTCAGGTCAGCCATGGGGGGGGGCTGATATAAATTAAAACATCCCCCATAATCACTTTAGGTTACACCAGGAGCTGCGTCAGACCCCAGAAAAGGCAAAATACAGCAGTTGTCAGCAACCCCAATTAAAGGAAGGATGTGGATGCATTGCAGAAGTTACAGTGGAGGGCAACCAAAATATATGACTCATATTGCCTGAGTGAGTGTGGGTTGGAGCTCTGCCCTTCACACCCGGACAGATGGTGGAGAACATGGATACCAGGGGAAGATCCTAGTCCCTGGATTGAGGGGCATAACCTCTGCTGGTGAAAAAAAAGAGAGAGAGGCGACAAAGAGGACGGGGACCCTGTTCTTTGGATAGAGAGAGAAGGACAGGATAGCGGGTAGGATGGATCCAACAAAGGTCTTTGAGTGGCTAAAAAAAAAACAACAAAAAACACAACCAGCAGCAGCAGCAGACGCAGCTGCTGCAGCAGTTGGCAGCACAGATTCAGGAACAGAAGAGACAGTTAGTCCGAGAGCTGGTGGATCAACAGCAGATTCAGCAGAAGAGATGGATCCAGCAAGGGCTGGCCTGGGGTGAGCCAGCATGACAGCCCCCTTAGATTCAGAAGGGGGCCAGTGGACACCTCGCAGCTGCCCATACACTTAATGAAAATGGGGCCTCAAGACGAGCCAGAGGCTTATTTAGTGACCTTTGAGAGGGTGGCCATGGCTGCCAGGTGGCCCAAGGAACACTGGGCCACCTTCCTCTCCCCTTACTTGTCGGGGCCGGCTCACCTGGCTTATCGCAGCCAGGAAGGCTTTAAATTACTTTAAAGTACAGGAAGCTATATTAGACCAAGTCGGGGTAATGCCCGAAATGTATGGACAAAAATTTAGACAGGAACCTTATCCACCAGGGGCCCGCCCATGAGCCGTGGTGCAGAACTTGCACGAGGTGGGGTGGAGCCTGACTGGCGGAACAGTATCCAGGTGTCCAATCTGGCTGTGCTGGAGTAGTTTCTTAAGATTTTACCAGCCGAAGCTCAGCAGTGGATGTGGCACCATAGGCCCCCGACTTTGACTGATGCAGTCACGTTGACAGAGGACTTTATGGCTGCAGAAACACCTGTGAGCAGAGGCAAGGACCTAAAAGAGACAGGGGTGGAGCGATCTATTCCTGGCAGTGACTGTTCCCCTCGAGGGGATAGAGAGCAGAGGCCCGGGATAACTCTGAAGAGGACCGACAGAAGTAAGCCCATAGTATTGGTAGGAGAGTGGTCTGAAGAGATCCAGGGGGAGAAGCCCCCAAGGGTCGGCGGCGCAGACCAGCCCCCGTGGTTAGAAGGAGTTTCTCGAAGTTGATGCTACAAGTGCGGGCAGGAGGGGCACTTTCGCAGAGAATGCCCTTTCATGGACTGCTCCTTCGGACAGGTGGTGCCTGAGCTGAATTGGGCCCGGCTCCGGGACTGTGTCAAAGTGACAGCTGGGGCTAAGGTTGAACAGATGCGGGCAGACAATCATCCGAGTGGATCTGGTCCTGAGCCCAGAATCCGCAGGTGACAAGGTATGGATGAGATGCGTCCACGGTGACATCCAACCTTACCAAACAGCATGGGTGTGGATCACCAACGAAGTTGATGATGTCATATGTCAGGTGGCACTGGCCCCAAAATTGGGATACCCAGTCCTGCTCGGCTGTGACTGGCCTGGTTTCCACTGGGTCATGAGAGCCTGGAGCCAACAGAACCCTCCTGGACCCGTGGCCTGGAAACTAAAAGAGGCTCTAGTAGGTCAGTAGTGTGTGGCTGGAGGCCAGCAGAGTGCGGAGGAGGGCCAGGTCAAGAACCCAGCCCAGAGGTATTAGCCCCACAAGAGACCCCAGCCCAGATTGGATGGCGGGGCAAAATTTCTTCCAGGAATAGAGAAATGACCCCTCACTGACAAGAGCTTGGGGCAGGCCAGGAGTGGAGGACCGGACGCAGAACCGGAGAGGTGAGGGGCCCAAGGCCCCAACTTCGAAGTATGAGGGGATCAATTGTATTTGGTGACCGAGGGGGTAGAAGGACAAGGATTCATATGGCAGCTGTGAGTACCAACATGTTACAAGAGGCAGGTCTTGGAACTGGCCCATGATAATCCCTGGGCAGGGCACCTGGGGCAGGGAAAAACCCTCCAGCGCATTACGCAGAGACTTTTTTGGCCAGGGATACACAAAATGGTGCAGAGATTTCTATGAGTCATGCCCTAACTACCAGAAAACTCAGCTGCGGACAGGGGCCAAAGCCCCTTTAGTATCCTTGCCGGTTATAGGTGTTCCCTTTGACAGGATGGCACTAGATTTGGAGGGACGCCTTCAGTGGTCTAAGACCAGGTACCAGTATATCTTGGTCCTGGTGGACTACGCCACCCGCTACCCAGAAGCGGGGCATTTAAGAAACATCATGGTACCTACAATCGCCG